CTACGAACCACTCATGATACACCTTGAAGGGTTCATACCAGCCTTTGAACGAGCCCATCTACTACGTTTAGGGTTCGCCTGCTCGTCAATCGGATTTCAATCGCATGCTAATACAAAAATTAGAGAAGGCACTTACAATAGATCGCAAGTTCGCAACGGTACTCTATCGGATTCTATCTCAGATTATCGCACTAGTGATACAGCAGTGCTCTCGAACGACGATCCTATCGTACAACGTATTTTATCTCGAGCTTCAAGCCTCCAAGGCTTCACTCCTCTAGAAAACCACGAGAGACTACAACTTACTCGGTATAAGTTGGGGCAACAGTACAAAGACCATTGGGATCACTTTCAAGATGAAGACATACCAGAGAATGAGACGCAGAGAATAACTACAATCTTTGCTGTGCTCGAGGCAACTTGCGATGAGTGTGGAACTAGGTTCTCTCAGATTTCAGTCGATTGGTCAAGAGAGGACCAGAGGTGGTGCCGAGTTATTGATTGCAACGATAAGACCGGGATTACAGTTAGACCTATTCCTGGCAACGCCCTATTCTGGAAGAATCTTAATGCTACTGGAGGCGGAGACTATAGGACTTTACATGCTGGGCTTCCCCCTCTCCACGGCACAAAGACTGGATTGAACATCTGGACCCATTAACACTATGTTATGGTTTGATTGGGGCACAGATGTGATGTATGGAAGGCCTAGTTAGTCAATTCTTCAATAATATCTCGGTCACAATATGTGGCGGTTATGTGGAGAAGCGGATCACGTGTGTCACGTGATGGTGATACGTCATGTAAAATAGACTCTGCTGCTGCCTTCTAAAAAGGTCAGCACAACAACAACACAGAACAGAATACACTAATTACTGCCTCGCGCAGTTACACTTTAATTCATTGAATTCACTGCAACAGAAGGTGTCAGCCAACACAGTTGGGTGTCCGTGCGTCAGCCCGATACTCTTATCAGATCTTCTAGCATCTTCTACAACCTTCACCACTCTACTATCTACGTCATGTACTCATGTATATCTTATGTATATAAGCACACATCTCTACTCAGTAGAATAATCAACCAGTTCTCTCCTTTCTGTTGTACACCCACAGTTATGAGCCCGGATTGCACTCGCAATTGATAACGACTGCGTTCACTCAACACCTCAACAGCCAAAGTATTGGCGTCGAAGACCTTATATAGTGTGACGGTTAAGATGACTTCTATTCAAGCGAGTAGAAGGTTAGCCTTTTGCTCCGCAACATATAGTGCATAGCCACGGAGTGGCGACACTACTAGGATACCTTGCCGTTGCTCCTGTAGCATTGAGAGCCCGGCCTGGTCACACGATCAAAAGATCACGATGTCGCTCAGCGAAGCGGGAGTCACTCGGGTGACTGTTATACTGGACAAACCAGCAGATTGGGAGTCATGGTTCCAACTACGACGTGAGAAGGCCGTCGTAGATGGTATCTGGAAGTACTGCGACATCTCAAAGCCGAAGAATGAGCTACCGAAGCTTATCGAACCTACAAAACCCTTGCCTAGCGCTGTTATGGCTGGAGCAACCTCGATTAGCCAGCTAAATGCAGGCCAGCAGGCGATGTCAGTGTGTCCAATAACCAAGTAACTTGGCTTGGTTGGTTGACTTTGGTTGATTACGTAACAACCAACCACGAGTAAACGTCTGTCCGAGCAACCACAAGTAAGGGTTCTCGCATTACTCGAGTCAACTCGAAGTTGGTTGACGACCTTACCGCATTAGGCATTTTTGTAGAGGAGGTGGGCGACCCAGAGTTTTTTGGGGCATTGGGATAGGAAAAACTATTAGTCTGAATGTTCTGATTGGCTGGAAATTGCCGCTCTTGAGATTTGCTGTCGAAAACTCTAACGCCTGCAGCCTCAATGTACGAAACCGCCAGACTCTAGGCCAAACATGCCTACCCACCCATTTTTTCAGCCTCGTGGAGGATCCACGGGTTCCCCTCTACCTAAGACTCCCTCCGAATCCCTTAGCTATACCCTAGAAAGCATAGAGACCCCAAGTTCCGTTTCAACCAACACTGCTGCCACCTTCGAAAGAGAGCTGCCGACATCTACTCAATGCCCTTTCCCTATTGACTGGGACAAAATTCGCTATGAAAGGAAGGTGTTGCCGTCGATTCGATATCGTCAGCCTCATAAGCGGGCCCTTAACTCTAAAACCCAGCCCTCGCCAATCTACAAACACGGTGCGCAGCTCACAACCGATGGAGAGAACAAGTTCTGGCTCTGCAAATACTGCCATCTTAGCGGCCAGCATGATTCTGCGCTGTACAGTAGTGAGAGTACTACTAGTATCATGTATCACCTAAAGAATCAACACAAACTTGAAGAATTTGGTTACAAAGTAATGGCATTAAACCCGTTCGATATAGCTAAGAGGGCAACAGGCTCTATACTATACCTTAGAGGCTAGCGCTTGATCTTTAATAACTCTTAGTTCAAGAATAAGTTTATTAACTAGGTTATTAATCTTGACTTTACTTTTCGACAAGCGACACATCAACGCACTCGTAACATGTTTGCTAGCTGCTTAGAGGATATTGATAGGATTCTACCTAAGAGCCCATCAACTCTTAGCACCTGGACAAAAGAGATGTGGGACGGTGATACTAGGAGACGTGCTTGGCTAAAGGAAAGGCTTTATCTTGCGAAAAGCAAGATCTATATCTCGACTAATGCCTAGACGTCTGAGGAAGGAACAAACTATGTAGCAGTTGTTGCTTACTTCCTAGACGAGAAGCATAAGTTGCAAATAGCTCTTCTTGACCTCCCGCCTCTCAAAGGCCCCCATTCTAGAGAGAACATTGCGAAAGTGCTGTTAACGGTTATCGACTTGTACGATATATCCGCTATTATTAGCTTCTTCATGATAGACAATGCTAGGAATAACGATACCTGTATTGAAGAACTAGCAAAGCAGTACCTCACAATCACACAGCAGAGTCGCCTTCGGTGCGTTGGCTATATACTAAATCTTATCGTTAAAGCTCTTCTCTTTAGGACGGGTGTTAGCAAGTTAGAGAAAGAGCTCTGTGGCGCATCTAATAACGAGCGGTTTAAGATATAGAGGAAGCAGAGCTTTATCGGCAAGCTCTATAATTTCTATGTGTGGATTAACTAGAGTAATCAGCGGCGGGAGCTTCTAAGAGAGTATATCTTGCAGGCATACGATAGAGGCAGCATCGAAAACCTTTACACTAGGGTACTGGCTGACGGTGGCGTCCGCTGGAACTCTGTGTACGCCATGATCGAGAGAGCTCTTAAGCTCCGTAACGCAATTGATTTGTTCTTTCTCCACTATAATTATAGTGGTGAAGGATACGATATCTCACAGGACGCTATTACTCAGCGCGATTGGACTGATTTGGAGCACTTCTTTAACATCTTAAAGCCGTTTAAAGATCTGACCAAACGCATGGAAGGCCGGGCCAATAAAGCTGGCCTTGAAGGATCACATGGCTCACTCTATGAGACACTCGAGTCACTTGACGTTCTCTTTAAGAAGCTCCAAGAGGCCGGAAAGTTCGCAGACGATCACCCCGAGCAGGTTTCGGAATACTATTCCTGTGCTATTGATACTGCCCGCCTCAAGCTTGAAGAATACTACGGCCTTACGGACGCTACGCCCAGAGATGTCAACAAGCAAGTCAAGCTGGCTTGATTCTTATCGATTGCAGATCACAGACAATATAGAGGCTCGTGCACAGTGGCACGTCCCAGAGAATGGTCTGTGATCTGCAATCGATAGAATCAAGCCAGCTTGACTTGCTTGTTGACTTCTGGGGTACGCCACCCCTACCGCATGCGCCTGTCGC